CTAAGAAAATAAAGAATTTTAAAAAAAGTTTCACCCTGAAAAACTGAGATCAGGCATTATTACTTACTGGAAAAAATAGCAGGGTCACACATGAAGGAGTTAAATCAAAAGAGGCATTAGACCAGAAGTGATTTCTATCAATGTCTTGTGAAGGGCTTAACAGGAGGAACATGTGAACATAAATGGCCAGCTGTCGAAGAAGACTTTGACATTATTAGCTTTTGTGAAACATGGTGGTGTGGCAAAAATCAATGGGAAGCTTTACTACCTGGCTATGAAACCAAAGTAAAGAGTTTCAATTTAAGGGATGAAAGAATAGCACCTCAACCTCAAAGTCTCCCCAGAAAAAAAGAGTTCAAAGGTCAACAACTCTACAGCAGAGATTAAAAATGGGCCTAAAACACTGCATCCAGGAATACAAATTTGCTCCAGAATTATCAGCTCCAGTATTTTTTGCATTCAGACATGAAAGATCATTTTTAATGTCTTAATTATTGCTTTATTAAAAAACTTGTTCATTTGAAAGCCTTTTATAAGTGCAGCCTGTGGCTCTGCATTCTGCCTTCTGTGATGTGAAAGGCTTCTTTCCAAAAATCTGCTCTTGCAGAAATTAATACGATTGCAACTGGCAAATCTTGTGCTCACCTGGCCATTCCCTTTGGAGGCAAACCAGGTGGCAAACTCAGTTATATGTGAGGTTGGAACACAAGATCTAATAGTCATTGCTTAACTTAAAAATGCCTGGCTTGTGCCAGGGGTAAATTCGTGTACAGAAGGAGCAGAAGGCCAGAGCCCATCTCTCACTCTGCTCCTGGTCAGGACAGGCTGTCCTGCTCTGCTGCTCACAGACCACATTACAGGTGCTTCTGCTCCTGGCTGCTACTTGGACCATGGTTAGAGCAGCAAATTAAACTGTGGAGGGAGGAGGGGATAAGGACATGAAATGCAGAGTTCTCATGGTGGACCTGGGGGAAGCAGTCACGTTAATATGTGAAAACCAGGCGTAACTGGTGGGAAAAGAAAAAAAAAAAGGTAAATGGTGCCAATTAAAGTGATTGCTTCTTAATGATGTACGTTATAACAAGTAACTTAATCTGTTAACATGGGAAGAAAGCTGTACTCAATTAGCAGGAGACATGAGACAGCTTAAAGTCTGCAAGTAATGGTTTTCTTTTGTTCTCACTGAGTATTCTGGAAATATCTTGATGCAAAAAAAAAAAAAAAAAAAGCCCTCCTGACCAAATGAGCAACACTTCAGTTCTTCAAGTCTTCAGCACCTTATGTATAATAACTAGGGGCAGCCTTAAATTTGTAACAACAACAACTTGCTAGGGAATTTATTTAATCTATATATTCAAACTGACAGTACTCTGAATGTCAGTCTGTGCTTCTTGAGAAAGAAGAAAATTTCAATAGGGTTCATGTTGCTGGTTGATTCAGAATGCCTATTATAATTGTGAAATATTGGTAGGAATGGATTGAGATATATTCATGACAGTAGGTGGATTAATGGAATTCAGTGACTTTATTTAAAATGTGCAGGAGTTTATTATAATACTGTAATAGAAATGTCATTTACCCTGACGGGAGGAGAGGGAAAAGCCCTGTCAATGAATAATAATGAAGTTATTTAAATGTCAGCTTTCTTGCAAATAGTTTGCAAAACAGAAATTATTCTACATGTTTCTAGTTTTGTTTTAATTTATTACTGGGAAGGCCAGAGCTTCAATCCCACAATTCTGGTACATTTTTATACTGTGAAATGAGCTAGTAACATGAAAATGTTTATCTTCTTGCATTGTCTTCTGCTTTACTGAAAAATAGGGAGTTTGTTTTAAACAGCTACTAGTAAAATTTAGGATTTAATGATAGCAATTACAACTAATATGGTGGGACAGGTGTGAAGTTCAGAATTGAATCTAGATTCATTTATTTTCTGAATGTTACTCTTCTACTGTCATCTGCATTTCAGTGACATCCACAATGTACCACTCGCATCTCCCTTCTCCCCCCAACCACTTTGAGGCACCATTGCAACACACGTGTCTACACAAGACACAATAAAATAAGATTTACTGTTCACTCATGTACATATAGTTACTCCATTAGCTGTAGCTGTTTAGAGGGCATAGTGTATTTTTGTGTATTCAGCTCTGCAGGTCTTGGGTTTAGTGCTTTACAATGATTCCTCCAGGCATTTCCTTGCTCATGTTATACAGATGGACTAAAACTGATTTCTCTCTGCAAAACTTCAGAGGAGCAGCCTTCCATACAGAATGTGGAGATGTTGGTTGCTGTATATCCTTTCCCCTTCAGATAACTGGGATTGGATTTGTTGATCCTGCTCTGTCATTAATGCCTGCACCCTGCTGAGGTGCATCTGTCTTTTGCAGCTCTTCCAGGTTAGGCTGGCTTCCTGGGCCATCCAATGGCTGATGTGTTTTTATGGGTTAGGAGTCTCATGCTGCTTTATACACCCATTTAATAAGACAAACAAAGCTCATTATCTAGGCTGCTAATCAGTGCCTGCTTGTATACATTATATATATATATATATACACATATATATATATATATATACACATATATATATATATATATACACAAATGCAGGGTGGTCATATGCCTGGGTTAGATCCCAGCAGAGATCTCCCATGTATGCAGTGTGTCCTTTGATATAATTATTTTTTCGCACTGCTCTGCAAATGTTTATATTACCATTTCTTTGTGGTAAAACACTTATGGATGCCTATCTGACTTGTATATATAACATCTTCCTCCCACCCCCCGCCCCTGTTAAAATTAAGGGTAATTATGAAATGGTAGAAAAGAAAAAACTGGTAAACGGAAAGTTAGAAGGACTAGCTATTGTCAGTTTAGAACACAATAATGAGAGTAAGATCTAAGAGTAGCTCCTTTGATTGCTTGTGAATTCGTTCCTCTGAAAGGAAAAAAAGATGTTTTTCTAAGCTTTTAAATCTTTTGGTTTCTTTTATGGATGTTGACAGAAGCACACGCTTCCATCTGTATAGAGTGTTACCTGTAAATAAAGCTGTGAATGCAAAACAATTGCCTAGAGATTTGAAGTAAGAAGTGGCTGGCAATTCTGAGATTACCATTTGCAATAGGCTGTTGACATAATTTTGCCTGTGTTGTGGCAGGGGTACTGGCTGCCTTTCTTGAACAATTTCAAAGCAAGTTTTATGTCTCAGATATTTTTTTCTCCTCTCCCATTTTGAATTCATTGTCACTGGTATAAGAAAAAGCAGCATTATTTTGTTAATGTATTTTTCCTAGCTTAGCAAGTCAGATTTAGTCCTTACTCTCTTTGCATCTCTTTGTCAGCTGAAACCTCACAAAGAGTAGCTTTTGGGGTTTAGGCAGAGGGCAGCAGAAGTACTAATTTGTGATAAGACTGGGTGGTGAGGTGGGGCAAGGTAACAAAGGGGAGATGCAGTCCTTGGCCAGGCTGTGTTCAGCACCCTGCTGTGGATCTCCTCACCTGGATTCTGGATCATCTCTGAAATATTTGGTAACAGAAACAACCAGCACAGAATCCTACTCCTCAATCCTCTGAGGAAATAGCTCAGTTAGTTTATATGTGCTCCTGAGAGAGATGACCTTATAAAGGGAAAGATCAGTCAGCAGCTGAGAATTTGACGTTAATGTTCTAAACACCAAAGGTCATACATGCACACAGGAGGGCGTGTGTTTATTGGAGGGAAGGAGAAAGCTATAGACATAAATCATAGGGCAGTTGTTATATGAGCAGGCAGATATGTGCAAAGGGTTCTATAAAGTTCCTAAATAGAAAGACTCAACTTTAATGCAGATTCACGTTTTAGTGCAATTCATCTTTCATGGATAAAACCCTAAGCTGCTGCTTTCTTCTTTTATTCATGTACTGATTGCAAAATCTGAAATCCCAGAAGCTATAATATGAATGTAGGTATGGTACTTGATTTAGAAATGTTCCACCCTCCATATTCCAGAAAAAAAATAATAATAAAAAAAAAAGAAAATAAGCATTAAAGGTCTTAAATGCCTTTGTGAATTTAGCCACTGTTGCCCTGATAGGAGAGAACCTGAAAATAATGAGTGCCAAGATTTTACTTCAGAATGTCTGGTTTTGCAGTGTTTAGCAAAAAGGAAAATTCATGTTACTGCTTTCAAGTGAAGATCTATATAGGCCCATTTGTACATGTTAGAGATGACCTACAGGAATATGTTATGCTTTTGAATGTCTGTTACCCAGATTCATGTCCCTTTCTGCAATTTATGGATGCCAACTCTGCTGGGCTGGGCTGATTATCTAAATCCCTGGGATCCTGGGACAGAATTCATGCAAGCATGAGCTGCATAATGAATAAAACCTCTGCTGATGATTTATCTTGGTTCCAGTCACATGTTAAGAGTAAGTCCTACAGGAACACAAGGCAGTCTTACTTGTTCACTGTCTTTGTTCTTCCCCAAGACATGCAATCAGTGTTTTTCTGGGCAACCCTAATTTCAGAAATATTTTATTTTCTCTATGGTGGCTTTTAAAGCAAGAGTAAAGCACATGTGTCCATCCTTTCTGCTAGCCAGTGTTAGAGAAGCTACTTTGGACTGTGCTGAGATGAACCATCTTAACAAAACCAGTCCAAGCTTGGAGTATATGATGAATTGATAATCTTAGTCTCTTGCTGTCTGCTATCTGGCATTTCTGACAATCATTATCTTCTGTATGCAGAATGTAGCATTTCTTATTGTGCATGTTTAAGATGCTTTGGGAAGATGCTGGTTGAATTTTTCCTAATCTAATTTAAATGCAAATTATAAACACGCACATGATGCTGTGTGTATATAATTAAGTATCATTATATACTACATGAATCATTGAAAAAGCTCTGGAGAACCATTCTGCTATTTAAAGCATGACTTATATTGAAAAGCTGCCAAGTGACTTGTGGTTTTATGATTAAGTGTTTGTACTTACAAGAATCTCTCTTGAATTGTAGGTCAACAGATTATGGGACAACATATGAGAAACTGAATGATAAAGTTGGTCTGAAGACTATTTTGAGCTACTTGTATGTTTGTCCAACAAACAAACGTAAGGTAGGTGATGATGTGTTGGCTCATTTTACCTTTATGAGGCTATTTCTGCCCTGGACATCTCTTCTAATTTCCTCAATAACTGTTACTATTTAAGTAGCAGGAATCTCTCTGTCTCTCTTGCCTTGGAAAAAATGTGTTACTTTATCAAAATATAACCCAAATTGTACCACCTATACCACTTACCAGTAATGCTTCAGGGAAGGATGGCTATTAAATGGACAGGTACCATGCATGTGATTGTTTGCTTACCTTCTGGATGGTGTTGATTTTGTTCTCTGGAAGAGAGAGAGACTTGTTAAAATGGCAGAAATGCATCTACAGTGGCCAGATTGTATGTAACATTATTTGTCTTCTAAGTGCTCGCAAAGGTGAACTGAACAGGATTTGACAAATTCCTGCAGAGAAAAAGCCTTCGAAGCCCAGAAGGTTTTAATCATTCAGAGACCCTAGTGACTAACACTTTACTATGAATTTATAATGCTGACATATTCATGAAGGGAATCTGGATGCCTTCTTTGAGATAAATTTTTGACAAAATTTTTTGTTTTCTACTCTGTGTTTTTCAGTCCTTGTGCATAGTTTGAGTCACTACAGGTAAAGCTGAATTGCATTGGCAGAAAATGTTAGTAGACTCACCTGTAAAGAAGACTGGGTGTGTTTGGGTGGCTGAGGTCACTATAATGCTCTTCTCACTATACTGAAACAATTATGTGTTCTTTAAGACAGACTGTGAAAGATAGAGGGAGCTGTCCTAACCAGAGAGGACAATGCTTAGCAGTTTAAATTGCAATTAAATGGCCACAAATTAGTGGAGAGATGTCATCTCATTGACACTGGCGCTTAAGAAGATATGAAGCTTTTCTCTAGGGGCTGAAGAATGAAATTATCAGATCGCTTAAATGTCCTTCAGCAAGCCAAGTGCAGTGTGGCACTGGGAGCCTTCATCACCTCTGGCTTCATCCTGCACCCTCCCACTCCCTGCCCTGCTCTGCCACCCTTGTTTGTGTAGCCATCTGGTGAGCTGGATCCAGGACTGACCTGCCTGAAAACTAATCCCTTTCCAGCTCAAAAACTAAGTAGATGGAAGGAAAAAGCTTTCAGGCAGAAGTGTGGAACTATCTTTTCTGGCAGAAGTCTGCTGTAACATTGGCCTGTAGTCAACATGATCCAGTGCCAGAGGAAAGCTGCAACACCTGGGATGAGAGGACCTAGGTAATGGTCTAGTGGAAATATTGAATTTTTCAATGTTTATTTTAGGAGGAGCAGAGTTAGGCTTGCAGGGAGAACTTATGGAGGCCACCCTTATGCTGTCTGTTTCTGTAGAACATCAGGCCATTTTGTCAACAAACATTTAATTTTAGAACCCAAATAGTCCCCCGAGGCTAAGAGGGCATGACATGTTTCCACACTAATACTTCTACAGGGAAAGCGAAAATACTGAAGCTCAAGGTCTTTATTATACTTGCCGTGGAATGAAAAGCTGAAGGAAACCTATTTAAAAATTTTGCCAAGGAAGAATCTATGTCTCTCCTAAGACCTGATCCACTCTTCTCCCCTGAAACTCTGATAACACTTTGAGAAACTCTGATCACTTTGAAAATTGCATCTTGTTTCAGCAATGTGGGCTGGGTGGATAGCTGCAAAAATACTTCTAAAATTTAGGACTCAAGTACTCTAAACTCCATTAATTTTATAAACACTGCTGCAGTTAGTGTTGGGCAAATGCTAACTGTGTTTTCCCTAAATATTAGTTGTATGTGGTGATTACAGACTACACCTGCAGCCTTCAATGTCCTTTGTTCCACAAGGCCTTCCTCAGCAGAGAGAAAAGGCTTCTTCAGTAGTGGAAAAGAAAATGGTGCATTTTTCATCTTGAAGTTATTAGATGAGAGACCTTGCTATAGCAGTGATCCCTAAGGGGGGTCAGCACGTACCTAACTTACTGAAGTTGCCTTGTTTTGGAAAAAAAAAATTAGCACATATTTAACTTTTAGGAGTAGTTCCATTGAAACAGAAGGTAAATTTTGAACTTAGCTGACTCAGGATTGATTGCTTGTAATGAAAAAAATCAAGTGTACCATTTATGTAAGTCTTGTCTCTTCTTTGCAAAGCAGAGCACTTAGAACAGTGAATGGTAGATTGCATGTAATTGGATTTATTAAAGTAATTGATAGATTTGTTCATGAATTTCTGATTATTTTCACATTCTGGAAATGAACAAACAACATCATGTTGAATAAATTGTTTGTTGTAATTTATTTGCTCTTCTCCATCTAGAAAAAAAAAATGGGCCTATAAATACCCAGTATTTGCAGAGCTTCCCACAGCCCATGCATGCCAATTTATTTCTAAAAGCTTTTGACTTCCAATTTGTGTCTCTTTATTGAACAAAATTAAATCTTTTAACCAGACATCACAGGCAATGTCATATTGCAAAAGGATGCTTGGGAAAAAAAAAAAAAAAACTAGAACAAAGTCAATCATTATTTACAATTTAAACTGGTGACCTATTGCTGTTGGTTGGCATTTTTCTGAATTACAATATTTTCCAAAGGAAATGACAGAATGTGGTTACTTATAGTGATGTATAAGTCCTGGCAAAGAGAAGTGGAAATATTTTTTAGTTTTCTTTCCTTTTACTGAATTACTGTGCTACCTGGTTGTATGACAGATAACACAGATCAGAGGGTAAAAAATGTACCACATGGATCTTGCCAAAGCCACAGAGCCTGTTTGAGTATTTGTCAACAAGTCTCCAGAAGAGATATGTGCAATGTGCAATAAATCCCTAGGCTTAGGTATGTCAACATTGGTTTATTTGTTAGGTTCACAGAGCCTTCTGTGATGAGAAAGAAAATTACTTGAATGCTTCTACATGAAGAAATACTGTTTGGGAATAATGCTGATGGGTTACAAACTAAACTAAAATATAAATCCAAGTAGATACCTTGAAATTCTGTTTTCACAGAAGTGTGTCATTCATTTTCCTAGAAAGTCACAAGCACTAAGCTTTGCAGTCTTTCTCTATAAAAAACTTTCAGATAGGTTGTTTTTACTCATTGCATGGAAAATCATAGGCATACACACATAAAAAGTGAATGGATCATGGTGGAGACTCCAGAATTTGTTTAACTGGAGGTTTTCTCTGACTCAGGAAGTGCTGCTGGCTAATTTAGGTGCTGGATCCTTGTAGGAGCACACTGTGTTCTCTGCAAAGAGCCACTTTGTGCAGCCCATTCGTTCTTTGTACTTTCCAGACCCCTGTATCTGTGAATCTTCAGTTAATTAACAAATGCTGGGTGATAGCATCTGCCAGTGACTTTTATGCTATTAATAGGACTAGTGCATCAGATATTTCCCATGGGTTTGCAGTTTTGTGGTAGTGTTTGTTTGTTTGTTTGTTTTGTTTTATTCTCTCCCATTCCACAGGCCTGCTTTGATTTCTTTTTTTCTTTAGTCCTCCAACTGTTCAGATTTTAATTGCTGTGTGGAACAGTGTTAATTTTTTTTTTCTCTCTTTAAAGATGAATGGATTACAGATGCCTTCCTCTTCCTTGATATTCACTGCTTGTGTTTATCACCTTTATCACAGTGTGTTAAGCATTGTCCTGTTGAGTGTGTAGCACCAAGATAGCAGATATTTATTGTAAATAAAATTGCTTGTGTTTCAATGCTGGCTAGATCCCCAACTGCTTCAAATTTATTTATATTATGAGTTTTTAATGAAAGGAAATTAAAGGAATGGCAGCCTAGCCTTCTGTTCTTTCTAGCATTGGCTGGTAGTTCTGCACAGAATAGTTGGCAGAAGTTTCTATTAGTCAAGACAGTAGAAAATTTACCCTTGTTAGCTGAAATGGGAATGATTGATTGCTACTTTCTGTCCTCTGGTATTAGGCGAGTTGATTTGCTTTAGGGAATTTCTGTTTGTGAAATGTAAACTGCCCCCTTGTACAAAGGGTAAGACCTGGAGCTGTGTGCTTTACACTTGCCTTTGTACCCACTCTTCTAAGGGTTGTGGAAAATGTCCACAGAGGTGAACAGTTCCACCTGGCATTGCTGTTTCTCAGGACTCTGCTTATCTTCAGTTGCTAAAATCAGTTTGGGAACAATTCTGAAAATTCTATTCCTGACCTGCCTTGCTATGGAAACTTTCAGAACTCTGATGTGAGGGCAGGTGTTGATGTTTCAGTCAAGGAAAAAGTTATTTCCATCTGTGTCCTCCTTGTAGCCTCTGTAAATCTTGGTGTGAAGGCTTTCAGTTTGTACTGGAGAGGTTAGAGCTCAGCAGAGCTCTGAGCACACCTCACTGTGGACTAAGTCAATCCTGTGGTGGTCAAGGGATGGCATCTTTAGCAAATTAGGCACAGTGGGAAGGCAGCCTCTGTCAGTCATGCCAGTAGCACATTGTGTGATTGCTGAGATAAAAGCAATTATTTTCTTGTTCTCCTCTTTTTATTTGGAAGGAAAGGTCCTTGTTAGCTGCAGGCTGTAAGTCCAGCCTTCAAAGAGACAGTCATGAGAGACCAAAAAGGCATATGTGCATGGTTGGAATTGTTTGGGGTGTTTTGGTTGGTGTTTTATTGCATTTGGGTTTGTGGGGCTTTTTTTTCTTTTTCTTTTTTGTTTTTTTTTGCATTCTTTTTTTTTAAAGTGTTATAGTGAACAGGAGATTTCAAGAGGATGTTCACTGAGAATGTTTTTGTACTTTTTTAAAGGGAGGAACCACCTTGTCCTGCAGCATTTAGGAGATCAAAACATAAATTCGTTCAAATGGAAACATCTGTTTGGATTAAACGCTGTATAACATAGGATGGTGCATGAAATGTCTCCTATGCTGTGACCACAACTAATGATTCTTTATAGCCTCATAATTTGCTTCAGAGAGAGTATTTGTTTGCTAAATACAGTGATCTAAATCTGTTTCATTCAGCAGTTTGAGCTAAAGATTCCACCACATCTGAAAATGGTTGAAATCCTGAACCTACAAGAGATTATCTTGG